TAGAGCATGTTCACTGAGACACTTTTGTAATAGCAGCTAAGCATTGGATATTATTCTAATGTCCATCAGCTGCATATTAACTAAATCAATGTGGTTCATCCAGACCATGGGATACTAACTCTGAAACCATTAAAAAGGGTGACCTTTGGGGTGATAGGAATATTTTAAAACTAGATAGAGTAGTAGTTACACAACCTTATGAATTTACTAAATGCCACTGAATTGTTACTGTAAAAATGGTTAATTTTACATTATGTGAATTTCACATCAATTATCATTTTAAAGATTGAGTCACAGAGGCCCAGCCCAGTGTCTCATGCCTGTAATTCTAGTATTCTGGGAGAAAAAGGGGGGAGGATTGCATGATCTCAGGAGTTCGAGACCAGTCTGAGGAAGAGCAAGACCCCACCTCTACTAAAAATAGAAAAATAGCCAATAGCGGCAGGCATTTGTAGTCCCAATGGGAAGCTGAGGCAGGAAGATCACTTGAGTCCAGGAGTTTGAGATTGCTGTAAGCTATGATGCCACAGCACTCTACCAAGGGTGACAAAGTGAAACTGTCTCAAAAAAAAAAAAAAAGTGTTATATGTGGTCATTATGTAAGTTTTGAGATACACAAAAATCAAGAACTGTGAAATCCACACAGACAGAAACTAACGAAGCCCTCCCAGTAACATTGAAGCCCAGCAAGTTGAAACTTGCATGAGTAAATCAGAAAGGACACTATTGACTGTGTTTCTTGGAAGTGAAATAATCCATCTCAAAGCTTTCATCATGACCAATGTACACTAACACAAAAAGATATTGTTGAAAAGTGACTATAATCAAGAATAAGTTATCACATGATTTAAAATAAAAATAAAAGAGTGGAATTGGAATGTTTCTAACAAAAAAAAAAATGTTAAATGCCTGGGGTGATAGATACCCCAATTACCCCTGACTTGTTTAATTCACATTATCTGCCTGTATCAAAACATCACATGTCCCTTATAAAGATACTATTATGTACCCATAATAATTAAAAATTAAATTTTTTGAATAAAAAAAATAAATAAAAGATATTGTTGACTAGAACGAGAAAACATTCTCTTTCCTGTAAATGTTATAAATGGATAGAATAAGTTTAGAAAGATTTAGAACAAACTTAACAGTATTTGCTACCAGGAGGTAGACGTGAGAAAATGATGGGAATTTATATTTAATTTTATACATTTGGCTCGGCGCCTATAGCTCAACCGGCTAAGGCGCCAGCCACGTACACCTAAGGTGGCGGGTTCGAATCCC